TCGTCAGCATCACCAGCATCATCATCACCCTCACCAAAATCATCATTACCATCATCATCATCATCATCATGATCCTCCTCATCAACATCATCATCATCATCAGCATAATCATTAGCATCATCATCATCATCCTCATCGTTCCCCTCATCCTCCTCGTCTCCCTCATCATACCCCTATTTGTGTTCCCGTCCTCCTCATCATCTTCGTCCTCCTCCTTCTCTTCCCTGTCCTCCTCCTCCTCCTGCTCATCCTTCTCTTCCTGGTCCTGCTCACCCTCCTCCTCCTCCTTCCCACCTTCCTCCTCATGTTCCTGTTCTTGCTCCTCCTCCTCCTCCTCCTCCTCCTCCTCCTCCTCCTCCTCCTCCTCCTCCTCGTCCTCCTCCCACCTCATCCATCCTTGCGCCCAGGCGCCCCATCCCGCTTGGCACCACCCTCCCCCCCTCTTCACCATCCACCCCCCCGTCCGTACCCTCCCCTTGACATTCCCCGTCGCCGTCGCCGCCGCCGCGGCCATCATCGTCGTCGTCATGGCCGCCCGCGGCGCCTCGTCCGTCCCCACGGCGCGTTCCCGGAAGACGCGCATCGCCAGCGCCATGCCCACCGCCCCCCGCAGGCCTCGGACGGTGCGCACCGACGACGTCGTCGTCGTCGGCGTCGTCCTCGTCGCCGGGAGGACTGGGGGAACGGGGGCGGGGGGATGGAACAGGGCGGCAAGGGGGGGGGGAGGGAGGAGGGGGGGGGGGGGAACGGGGAGGGGGAGGGGGAGGGTAAGGGGGGAGACGGAGGGACCGGGGAAGGGGAAGAGGGCAAGCGGGCGCAGAAGCAGGAGGAACAAGACGGGGAGGAAGGGAAGGAGGGGGGAGGAAAGGACGAACGAGGAGGCGAGGATTTCGGGACCCCACCTGTCCAACAACCATGCGAGCCGCACCTGCGGGGAACGCGCGAAGAGGGGGGAAGCCCCACATGATAATCCCCGAAACGACTGAAATTACTCTTGAAGTAACAGTCATCGCCGCCCATGCGGATGCAAAGGGTCTCTTCCCGTCTTCTCATCGCCCCTCTCCTTGTCGCCCTGGAGGGGGCCTTTTTTGTCCCGCCCCCCGCTCTGCCTCCCTCTCGTCCTCCTGCCTCCTCTCCCCAATCCACCTACTCCCAATCCCCTCTAGCAAGGGCACGCAAATCGATTGTCCTCGGCATGGGCACGTTCGGCCATGGCCAAATCGCGAAACCGCTGGGACAACCCCGCGGGCCACGCCGTTGGGACAAACCCCGCGGGCCGCTGGGGCGCGGGGGCGAGCCGTTGAGACAACCCTGCAGGTTCCGAGCTAGCCGCGGCCACGCTCAGGCGGGAGACAGCGCGAAGCCCAGCGCTGCCGCGAGCTGCTCCGTCTCAGGCCATGGAACTCCCCCATCTCCTCTTGGAGGATTCCCTGCCGGCAGCCCGTGCTCCAGGAACTCACGCGTGGGCGGCCGCAGGACCGGCATGTTCCGCATGCGACTGGTCCGAAATGCCTATGCGACCAGCGTTCTCACCCCTGGAGCAGTCGGTGGTGACGCCCTTGCGCATCGTCTGAAACTGCGACAAGGTGGAAGTCAGGTACGACGCGCGCGTTACGGTGAACCCCGAAAGGCGCACGACGTGCGTCCCCGAACTCTGCCACGTGAGGTTTCGCTCGCCGGGACCGAACGTGAGCAAGTTCCTCGCCCGCACCTCGGCCTCGCCGTCGTTGTCAGCACCTTCAATTCACTGCGGCAGCAGCTCTGCAATCTCCGGCCCTGGACCCCCACGCCCGCCGCCACCAGGCGCCGCGCCACGCGGGGGGGCGCTGCGGTGGGACACGCCACCTTCCCCATCGGACCGAAGACATGGGGACCTTGGCGCTCAAGGTTTTTGGCACCACCGATTCGCCGAAACAAATGTTTTCCGCCGCGCGAACCCACACAAAGGTTGTGCCCGTCAAGCCCGAAAAAGAAAAACTTCCGCTCGAAACTTCCTCGAGCTTCTTTCACAAATTGACCGTTTGGCTCCCGCACAAGGCTTTCTCGCAATACAATCGTGGACGACATTCCCGCTCGTTGCGCCCTTCATCTTCCAACCCCGTGAACCCAAAACTGACAACAGCTACACGTTTCCGATGGTCTGTTCAGATTAAAAACATGAGATGCAGGCCCCATTGGGGGGAGCTACCGAATGTGATTTCCTCGCAACGCACTCACAGACGAAACTCTCGCCTGAGACTTCGTCCATACTCAATGTCGAAGGCCAAAACAATAGACGGACACACGACTCCGATGACCCTTCTTTTCGGATGAATAACACAAACTGCGGGCCCCATAGAACGGGGGCAACCGCCTGACACGTCCTGTTAATTGAGTCGCCGAGGAAATTCCCGCCTGAAACTTCCTCCATGCTCACGCTCGAAGATGCCAAAAGGACAAGTGGGACACGTTTCTAATGGCCCACTCGGCTACATAATACGTGATGCTGGGCCCTAAGAGGAATGGGTTCCCGCCTGAGGCTTCCTCGCAATTCACTCACTGACCAGACTCCCACCTGAGACACTGTCCAAACTCAAGGTTGCGGAGGCCCGAAGTGACGACAGTTACACGTTTCCGATGGCCCGCTCGGACTAGTAACATGAGCTGCGGGATGCGGGCCCCATTGGGCGGGGACCCCCGCTTGAGACATCTTCACAAATCACTGACGGACGAAACTCCGGATGGAGACTTTCTGAAAAACAATGTGCGGGTGTGTGAGCGATTGCGACAACATGGTGCGGCAATGATGACCACGTGGTGGTGGCGAGTGCGAAAGTATGGCAAGGTGTCGTTGCTGATGAAGATGACGATGATGATGGACAAGTGTGAAACTGATGATGATGAGGAGGAGAAAGAGGATGGCGAACGATGGCCGTCATGGGTTGAAAGGACTGGCGGCTGATGATGATGGTGCGACGATGATGACGATGATGACGCGGGGGAGTTCCTGTGCCTGCTCGGGGGTGCCCCGAGTAAATTGTTGCGACGGCGGGATCCTACATGAGAACCACCCAAACGAATCTGGAAGTAAATCTCATCGTCGCCTGGTGATTGCAAAGGCTCTACTCCCGTCTCCTCGTCGACCTTCTCAATTTCGCCCCGGCAGAGGTCCTCCTGCCGTTCCCTGATCTGCCTCCTCATCGTCCCCTTGCTTCTTCTCCCCCGCCCATATCTTCCCCCGCCCCTCTAGCAAGGACACGCAAATCGATGTTCCTCGGCGCCGTTGCGGCCGCGGCCGGCATGGGCGCGTTTTCCGATGGCCAGACCGCGAAGCCGCTGGGACACCCCCGCGGCCCAGGCCGTTGGGACAAACCCGCGGGCCGCTGGGGCGCGGGAGCGAGCCGTTGAGACAACCCCGCAGGTTCCGAGCCAGGTCGCGACCGCGCCCAGGCGGGAGGCAGCGCGAAGCCCAGCGCTGCCGCGAGCTGCTCCACCTCAGCCCTGGAGCTCCCCGATATCTTTCCGAACTCGCTGAACGCCCTCCGCAGGGAAGACGGTGGCCCGCGTGGGCGGCCGCAGGGTCAGCATGTTCTACAAGCGCGCGGCGGGAGAACATGGCGTACAGGTGCAGCCACCACTGCTCGTCCGACATGCCTGCGCGACCAGCGTCCTCATCCCTGGCGCAGTCGATGGTGACGCCCCTGCGCAGCGTCTGACCCTGCGGCAGCGTTGAGGTCAGGCAGGACGCGCGCGCCGGGTTGAACCCCGAGCGGCGCACGAAGTTCGTTCCCGAGCTCTGCCACGTGACCTCCTGCTCGCTGGGCCTGAGCATGCGCGAACTCCTCGCCCGCGCCTCGGCCTCGCCGTCGTCGTCAGCGCCTTCGGTTCCCTGTAGCAGCAGCTGTTCGGCGACCCCCTGGTAAACCGGTTGTGAGGCCGCGCACCTCCATCCAGGTTCCCTGCTGTTGGAAGGGGTGGGGGGACCACCTCTCACATGGAGGGGTGTCCAGCCTGAGATTTCCTCGCAAGTCACTCGCAGAAGAGGCTGCCGCCTGAGACGCTTTCCATTATCAAGCTTGAACAGGCCAAAAATGACGATTGTTACAAGTCTCCGATGGCCCGTTCGGGTTAATAACGTGAGCTGCGGGCCCCATAAGGAGGGGGCACCCGCCTGAGCATTCCTCGCATCGAAATTCACTCACAGTCGAGGTTCCCGCCTGAGACTTGATGAGGCCTAAAGTGGCGACTGTTACACGTTTTCGATGCCCGTTCGGGTTAGTAACATGAGCTGCGGGCCCCGTAGGGAGGGGGGGGCCGCCTCAGACTGTCTCGCAATTCACTCACAGGAAAGGCTCCCGCCTGAGACTTCCTCCATGCCCAAGCTTGAAGAGGCCCGGAGTGGCGCCAGTTACAAGACTCCGATGGCCCGATCGGATTAGTCACATGAGCTGCGGGCCCCTTCAGGAAATGGACTCCCGCCTGAGACGTCCTCGAATTCACTCACAGACGAGGCTGACGCCTGAGACTCCCGTCATATTCAAGACTGCAGAGTCCCAAAATGAAGACAGTTGCACGTTTCAGGTGGCCCGCCTGGATTAGAAGCATGAGCTACGGGCCCCATAGGGAGGGGTCTCGCGCCTTAGACTTCCTCGCGGCCCCCTCACAGGCGAGGCTACGCTGGAGACTTCCTGAAGATGGATGCGTGACTGTGTGCGTCAGTGCGAAACCACGGCGTGGTGATGATTATGGTGATGGCGATGGCGATGGCTATGATGAGGATGATGACGATGATGGTGGAGCTGGTAAGTGGGACAACATAGTGTGGCAATGATGATGGTCATATTGGGAAGATGTTAGTGGTGATGACTGATGGTGGTGAGATAATGATGACGATGATGGTGTGGGGGGGGCGTTGGTGTTGGGCATGACGATGCTGGTGCTGCTGGTGGTGATGACGATGGTGAGGATGACCATGGTGATGACGAGATTGATGGTGGTGATGGTAATGCTGATGATTGTGTTATCATTGATGGCGATCATGTTGATGCTGATGGTCGTCATGTTGATGATGATGTTGCTGGTGAGGATGATGACGATGATAATGGTGCTGCTGCCCATGATGATGATGCCGATGATGAGAATGATGAGAATGATGATAATGATGATGCTGATGATGATGGTGGTGATGGTGATGGTGATGGTGGTGGTGGTGATGGTGATGATGATGATGATCATGATGACGATGATGATGATGGTGATGATGATGTGTTCCTCTGTTGTTGGTTGCTGCGCGGAGTATTCACAGAAAACGAGAGCCCCACATAGGATGTGGGGAAAAGAAGAAGCAGAAAGGCAAAAGCAGGATCACCTCCTGCGGCACCTCCTGCCGCCACTCCTCCTCCTACCCCTCCTCCTACTCTGCATCATCCTCCTCCTCCTCCTCCTCTTCTACTCCTCCTACTCCTTCACCTCCATTCCCCCTTCTCCTCCTCCTCCTCCTTCTCCTCCACCTCCCCCTCCTTATCCCCCTCCTCTTCGACACTCGGGCCACAGCTCCGGGCCTCAAGGCGGCCGCAGCCTGCCCAGAGAAGGCTCTCGATGGGGGCGCGGCTGACGAGAAACACCTGGGGCCTGAC